GACACATGGAGACAGAAGAAGATCGAGGGACTAAGACAGTAGACATTGAGCCTGTTTAGGAGGGAGGGGTTGAAAGTGGCCAGGAAGAGGATGCCAACACACCACAAAAAGGAAGAAAAAGACAGAGAGATGTTGAAAATTGGACAAGAAACCAACGTAAAAGGTTAAGAAATTCTGGCCAAGGCTACATTAATTCACATGGCATTCATGTTCCAGGAAGGAAGGTGAGGGAAAAGAACTAAAAAGCAAAAAGAACACGAGAGAACTGTCAATTGAATAGAGTATTGAAAAAAAAAAGAATTGTAATGAAATCAATTGAACAACTCATGAATTGCCAATCAGAAGTGTGTTTAGCAAGTTCAGTGACTTTAATTACAGTCTGTAGTGTTCAGCAGATGCCCAGAATGGAAAGGTGAAAAAAATAATAAAAAAAAATAAAAAAAAATAATGAATGAGTTAAATGAAAAATAATTACTTGTTCAAGTGTGATTCAAGTGTTAATTATTCAATCAATTCCCCTTTTGATCAATTATTTTCTGCATTGTTCAGCAGATACGCCCAATATGTCCATAAAAGACTTGGAAATGTTTGGTGCCAAAAAGGCGTATCTGACGTTTTTGACATATTTTTTTATTTTAAAATGTTTTAGAACATGTTCATTGTGTTAATATGCCATACATTTTTTACTTAAATACTCATTCATGTAAGTATGCCTGTGGTTGCAATGTTTGTGGTTTAAGGGTAATGATACAGGTGATTGAAGTGTGGTCAAAATTTTGTTTTGTCTCTCCTGTAAAGTTTGTCAAAAGCCACTTACGCCCCTCTGGCTCCAAGCCCTCGATATGATGGTTGTGTACAGGCACTGCCAACACACATTTCAGTACAATCAACTTGAAAAAGTGCATGTACCATTATATGACCCCTTTAACTAAAACTGTAAGAGTATTAGTATATCAATGATACTAAAATAACACTGGACAAAACAAAGTTTAAGTAATTAATGAACACTGAAAATATTCCCCTCATCTGAATCTCATTTGATAAATGATAAACATTTTATTTTATTTGTGACAAACTAATTCATGATACGTCAATCCGTCACACGGGGTTTGAAGCCATTGACATTGGACGTCAACATGCGCTCTCGCTTGTCATAACAAAACACCACATGCCAATTCGCATATGCAGAAAGAGAATTAAGAGCTGCAGCAGATGGAAAGATGTTCAGTGAATAGAAACTTTGGTCTGTTTTTCTCACACAAAGCTTTAGTGTGGCTTAGAAGACTTTATAGTGCATGTGTAACATTGACCACTTTTATGGTAAATGCGTGAACATACTCAAACATTTCTTCATTGGTCTTTCACAAACAAATACCAGCACGCAGGTTCAGAACTACATAATGTTGAGTAAAAAAGGCCAGCATTTGCATATGTGGGTGAACTGTCCCTTTAAGCTCTGTAATTCCCCCGGCCGTTGAAGTTCTAAGGAATGGTAAACTTGGCAAATGTCATGCTTACTGTGGCTTAATGTTAACATCCAAATAACACACTCTGTCAGAGGTTAGCACCTTTTGTCAACTCTTACTGGATGATTTGACTTGAAAAAGAAGTTTAATTGTACTGAGCACGCACTTGTAAGGTACTTCAATTCTTAAAAGTTTATATAGGCAACTTAAGTAAGAGTACACTTTTGTGACTGTTTCTTAACACACTTAAGTACCCTTTTTAAAAGCGCACTTTGTAATAATGTCAAATCAAAAGTTTTATATTAAAGTACATTTTAAAGCATTTACATTCAAGTTTACTTTAAATGCTTGTCAGGTCATTCGATAGTTTACTTTAATCACTTTAAGACAAAGTTATTAAAATTACATATAAATAAGTTAAGTACTGTTTGCATTTAAAATGCATTTAAACTACTATATTTTAATTTAACTGTGAATAACATGCAATTAAGTGTCGGAAAACATTACATTCAGTTCACACACATTATTTTAAAGTATATTATTTCCATAACTGCTAAAGCTCTTTTTCAGCAAGAGAAGACTTGGAATATAACACACAAATCATATCGACTACTAATATCTCGCAACACTAGCAACCAAAGGTTATATATGCAGAAGCAATGACTCATGTATAATATGGAACCAAAAAGAGATTTGCAGAATGCATCCAGAAAGCAAAGGCAAACGTTAGAATCAAAAACTGTTCAACCAATTGCAGGTTTGTCATATCCTAGAAATGTTTCCAAAAATATACTAGAATAACAGCTATAGGGTCTTTTCAAATGAGTGAATTCAGCATGTTCCTTGTGCAATCTGGCCGACCTGTCTGTGCAGGAATGCTCTCATAATGGAGAAAACATGAGGCTTCTTTCAGTTTGGAGATGCCTGTGGAGGGGAGAAGGCTCTGCTTTAGTGTGTGCATTAGCCCGTTCATACCTGGGGGCCAATGAATAGAGCCCTCAGGTAAGCCTTGTTGAAACAAATCTAAGCTGCTAATGACACGCACTGTGAAAATATTCACAGTTCATTTAGCTTGATGACAACTGGAGCCCCCCTGTGCCCCCCCGCTCCGCTGTTTTGTGTATTAGTCATACCTTTGTGTCGTAATCTGCAACGGACGATGCTATGACAACAACTAGCATGGCATAGTGGATGGGAAATGGGAATACCATCTAATTGTCTATTGTGTAATGTTTTCTTTACGTGTTCAATACCAAAAAAGAAAAGCTCACTTGATATGATGATTTTGGCATCAGTCACACACACATGAGTACTCTTTCACCATTTTACCTGCACCCAGATCTCTTTTATTTGTCAGCAAACTTTTGACATGGAGGAAGAGTACACATATTCTTATACTTATACCATTTACTTATACTACTGACACCATAACAATACAGAGCTGGGTAAGAATTAGCGAACATGTCGTTTAAGTCACTTGAAAGATTTGTGGGACAAGACTGAAGACTGAAATTTAAATTGACTGATGATCTTCTCAATTTTCATCTTCTTAGTCCTTATATAGACGCTTCTTATGGCCCACTTCTGGTCAATAAACTGTAGTTTTATAGAAAAATACACTCTAAAGGGTGTATTGTGAAAAAATATATATATTTTGTAATTCCAAACCCGTTAGACACAAAATGAAACACAAATGAAGATCTTTTTGATGAAATCCGAGATTTCTGTCTCTCCATTGACAGCTACGCAACTGCCACTTTGAGGCTTCAAAAAGTTCATAAAGACATCGTAAAACTAATCCATATGAATTGAGTGGTTTAGTCTAAATTTCATGAAGAGACATGATCACTTTATGAACAGATCTCTCAGATTTCATCAAAAAAGATCTTCATTTGAGTTCCGAAGATCTTACAGCTTTGGAATGACATGAGGGTGACTAAAAAAACAACCCTAAAAAAAAGGGTTCCAAAAGTTGTTGTTTTTTCGTTTTTTTTGCAGCAATACATAGGTCCCAAAAGAACATTTTAGCGAAGTTCTTAAAATATATATATTTTTTGTATGAAGAACATGTTGATAAGAACATTTTTCCCACTATAAATAACATTTTGATTAAATGAAAGTACAAAATGAATGTATAAAATGTAATTTTATAGAAAAGCACTGCATAAAGATTCTTCAAAATGTCTCTTTTCGTGTTCCAACAGCATTTTGGCATCACATGACAGTGAATAACAGAAACACCATTTTTGCATGTACTGTCCTTTTAAGATCCATAATTCCCCAAGCCGTCAAAGTTCTAAGGAACTTTAAACTTGGTGAGTTTCACCCATACGGTGTCCTAATGTTGTTAACGCACAGATAACACTGTCAGAGCTTTCGTCAACTCCCTCAGGCTGAATTGACTTTGGTAAGTGGGGGCATGACACTACCTTGGACACTATTGAGTGAAAGGGATTAGGTGTTGTTAGTTTTTGAGAAAGCACAATGTCATCACTGTACATTAAGCTTTAAGACACCATATTATCATCAGCTCACGAACATTTTAGTCTCCGGACTAATTTACAGTTAGAGTTTCCTTCTTGCTTAGTCTGAGAACCGTTATCTTGTTTCTTCCCAAACCAACAAGTATGCTGAAATGCAAATTGCATCTGGCACCGAGACACAGTAATTTGACGTAATTACTACAGCTTGATACCAGAGTACGCTCTCGCTGCATGGCATGGATCCATCACAATAATCAGTAATTGCTCTCCATTTTTTGACGCAAAAATACAGAAACACCCATTACTCTGTTCCACAGCAGCTTGATAATGCCACATTACAGAAAGATCCTTCACCAACTTCTATATTGTATGAACTCAACACCTGTAGGGCCCAGCATTTTCATCATCTGCTTGGAATAAATTGTAGTCATCATCATAACCATAATCACAGTAATAAAAAAGTCCTCGTCCTCTTGCCAAATTACTGTGGCATTTGATTTACAGTAATTGTGCGGGAGAGGAGGGGTGGAGGGGGGGTTAGGCTACAATACGCTATGCTGCGCCTCGACCGGCAGAGTACAAACACGCACACACACCTGTGTGGCTTCCACCTGAGAAGGGCCGGATCCCAATGATATGCCGACATTCCCCGAGGCACACAATGACTAACATTGTGACACACAATAAACCAGGTGTGGATGGGATTTTTTATTATAAGCATAGAAAATGTAATTTTTAAAAGATTACATTTTAAGAGCATTACACATTAAGAAGGTAATTAGTTATGAATGAGGTTTTGACATATGAACTGCTATTTCTGGATGTAATTATCGATTCAATATGTCATTAGACTGATAGAGACTCAAAGATTGCAGTCAGTCAACATTCACAATGTTTTATTCGAGACTTTTGGAAGCAACAATACACTATAACTTTTGCTTCTTCTTTGTTAGCTTCTTTTAATACTGACACAATTGTGTTTAACAAAAAAATATAGAACAAAGACAACAAGTAAAAAGAAAAAAAAAGATCTCCAGGATCTTTAGACGGAAATTCAAGTATTTTTTTCCCCATTAATAACTAGACCTAATACTGACCAATGGAAAGTGACCTTACATTTGTAACAGCATTTAATGAGGCATAATCCAAAGTCTGTTTCTTTTCTTTCACGATTCAGATGACACATGGTTAGAAATGCTTCATCAAATTTTGAAAAAAAAGAAAAAAAAAGTGTGAGGACTTGCAGACATCAGCCATAAATTTTACTGACAATACTGGGTTGTAATAACGGAACCGTAATGTGCGAGAAATCGCTTTCTCTTGTAACTCTAGCCATTTAGTTTGGCAGTTAGACAGATATGACACTGCAGTACATTATTCAGAAAAGCATGAGAAATCTTCAAGTAACATTTCCTTCAAAGAGACAAATTAGTGTTCAACTCTAAATTAGGATTTGAAGGACTGAAATATGATCTCCAGGCTATATGCTTCCCAGGCTTCATTGCTACCATTACTGTGTCATAATTACATAATTTAGTTCTTTACAGGCCAGAACATCCCTGACATTCAGTACAGTCCAAGCTTCCCTGTGGTGTCCTATGTCGGGGTTCCATCTTTTTGACTAGCCTGCATCCGTAATCTCCTTCTCGCAATCGCTTCCTGTTTCTTCCTCTCAATCTCGGCAGCTGAACATTTGGCTGTCGTATGGGATGAAATAAAAACTGCAAAACAACAACAAAACAAAGTTGGGTTTAGGGCTGTCACTTTTGTGGAAAAATCCTGATCGATTTTTGAGACATAAGTGTTCATTGAATCGATTGTAAAATCGATTTTCCATCTGCGCGGATTTAGTGCAAACACGCAACTCGTGAGTCCTCATGATATATAAAATACAGCGTATTGCACAGAATCTGCGCATTTCTGGCTTACTTGAACACACACACACACACACGTCACTAAGCAACAAATAACGGCGCGCTTGTTCACTTGCATTGAAGTAATAGCGAATTTGGTTAGCAGAAAAGACATTGTTATTTTCCAGCATCCTACATGTTCTGATACTGTATTGATCTGTCCACCTAAAACACATTTTTGGTGTAAAAAAAAAAAGGCCGTTAAAATCGATTCCTTATTTTCGTTTTCGAAACTTGTGTTGGTTGGTCCGAATCGATTGTGCAATCGATTTTCGAACGTAAAGTGACAGCCCTAGTTGGGTTACGGTTCTGTGGGATGTAACTGGGACATGTAAAACTTTTAAAGCATGAATTGTAATCTCGGAGTTTCAGTGACTACGTTTACATGCAGCCAATTTTCGGGTTATGGTCGGGTTAAGGTCACTATTCGGGTTTCTGAAACATTAGGAATAACCCGTTTAGGTGAGCAGAGAGAGTTTCTCCTGTATACATGGAATTGCAATATCCCGATGTAAACGGCGACGCACGGTTAGCGTCAAGATGTACGGACAACCTTAAGACGCACTATGCGTCATTTCCGATTCTTCTTCCTGTATCCAAAGACAACAACAACAGCAGCAGCACGCGGATAATGAATAGTTCGGGGCAGATAGCGATCGCCTTTGTTTGCGCTTTGGTGCTGGTACTGACCTCGCTCCAAAAGTATGCTGTGCTGCGTCTCGCCATGTTTACTTCCGGTATAACGTTACTGCACGTGGGTTTTTGTATGCGCCGAGAAGTTCCTCTACTCAAAAGACCAAGATTCCTTGAAGATTACAGAACTAGAACATGCGCAGAACACAAATCACTATGGGGATATGCCGATGCGCGTTTACATGACCAAAAATTCGGGTTAGAAAAGGGGTACCCCAGGTATCATATCCCGGTTTTTAAAATCCGGGATATGAGCATATTCGGGTTTTTGCAGGTGTTTACATGGCCGTGCGTGACCGGGTTATTGCTAATATCCCGGTTTTGAACGGGTTATTGGCTGCATGTAAACGTAGTCAATGTTTAATTCAGCACTCAAACTTTCCCTACACCCTTTTACTATAACAGCAAGTAGATTAGAAGACAGTCAGAGCCAATGTGACAGTTAAAGTAACAGTTCACCCCAAAATAAAAATATTTCCTCATCCTCATGTCTTTCTGCAAAGGAACACTAAAGGAAAAATATTTGAAGAATGTTTTTCATTGCTCTTTTCCAAGGACATAATCAAGTAGGGCGGAGTAAAAAAAAAAAAAAAAAAGTCGTAAATTCGCTTTACTACTAGTTATAACACAAAATAAACATGAATGACCACCAGAAGGTATGTTGAAAGATACAATACAACTTACTGAAATCTGTTTTGGGTGAACGCTACGCGAAACTTTTCTGAGAGAACGCTAAAAGCACTGAAATACGGACACCAACGGCTTTGGAGTATCTCACAAACATTCAAGAACAGCCATGTTTGAATATGTGCAAGTGAAAAGAAGATTTAAGAGTGACGCCAAGGACAATATTTTCAGTTAATAATCACTTTTTTTTTGTCCTAATTTTGTAAGTGATGAAATAAATGGATGTAATCCTTTACCTAAAATAGCATTTATTTGATGATAATTAAACCAAATAATCAAACATTTTATATATTAATTTAAAATTGCAGCAGCATTTACATGATAACACAGCGTTCTGATGAGTATACTATTGTAATACAATATAGTGAGTCCTAGTTCAGTTGTTCATTGTCCATTTTAGTGTGCCGTTACAGAAATAATGTGACTTACACATTCTGACTACCTTGTAACTTAGTTCAACTTTACACTCACTTGTTCTTTTGCATAATTTTGTGCAGAAGCAACCTGTAATGTATTGATTAATCTCATATGTATAGCACACATCTGGGTAAGTTAATTAAACCCACTAGCAAGTTTAGTTTACTTGTGGTCAATCATTAGTGTCCCATCTCCAATAATGTCATTGACCTCCCAAAATTACTGATCATGGTTAGATTAATTGTAACAATAAGGGTACGTTTACACGACAACGATATGCTTAATACTGATAAGTTTTTCGCGTACAGACGACATCATTATCAAAACGATCCCCAATTGACACAGATCCGCGTCTTCAGAGATTTGTGTTTTTGCTGTTTAAACAGGGTAAAACTGCATTTTTCCATCTTAAAAATATATCTAAAATACGCCATATGCTCTCATTGGGAAATGCGGAACAATTAGTCCATGCGTTCATGACCTCAAGGCTAGATTATTGTAATGCTCTACTGGGTGGTTGCCCTGCACGCTTAATAAACAAACTACAGCTAGTTCAAAACGCCGCAGCTCGTGTTCTTACCAGAACCAGGAAAGATGACCATATTAGCCCGGTTCTGTCAACACTGCATTGGCTCCCTATTAAACATCGTATAAATTTTAAAATATTGTTGATTACCTACAAAGCACTAAATGGTTTAGCTCCGCAGTACTTGAGCGAGCTCTTAACGCATTATAGTCCTTCACGTCTATTGCGATCTCAAAATTCCGGCCAGTTGATAATACCTAGAATATCTAAATCGACTGCTGGCGGTAGATCCTTTTCCTATTTAGCACCAAAACTTTGGAATAGTCTTCCCACCATTGTCCGGGAAGCAGACACACTCTGTCAGTTCAAAGCTAGACTAAAAACACATCTCTTTGACCTAGCATACACATAATACATTATAGACTTCTATAAATTCAATGTTAGGCTGCATAGATTAGGTCAGCCGGAACTGGGAACACTTCCCTTAAATCCAGATGTACTCGTTACATCATAAGAAGAATGGCATCTACGCTAATATTAGTGTCTTTGTTTATCCCGAGGTTTTCCCGCAGCCTGCCGGATCCAGGCCGTGTCCAGATCTGACGAGGGAGCTTTGCCTGGACCCGATGACAATGCAGTGCTGAAGTATCCACTATCCTCTCCCTATGGAGGATCCCTTTCCCACTCTACAGATAAAGCGTTGTGAATTCCGGCTCGCGTACCCCGAAGTGATAAAATAAAACAAAATTCTGTATCAAAATTTATAGGCAAGAAAAGTAGTTTGTTTAGGCTGGGTTGTATGAATTACAAACCTGCGCACATATTTTAAAAAGCACATAACTATAGAATTCTGAATGTGCATGTGAACGCCGTCAGCGTTAATCACAGGTTCGCGTTTAAAGTCTGATCATTTCGACGGAGGTGAATCAATCAAAGTTAACTTTAGCTGGAAGTAACATTATTCAAGAACCGCTATAACGCCAAAACAATCTGTTACCTTAAATTATATGTTTATCTCTGTAAAGCTGCTTTGAAACAATCCATTGTTAAAAGCGCTATATAAATGAAGATGACTTGACTTAAACGGAGACCGCTTTCAAAAGTTTGCATTTTCAGGCACCCAAAACGCATTAAAAGTTAAGTTTTTAGTTGAAAACGGTGTAAACAGCCCCTAAAACTACTATATTTTACTTGCATATAGGGATGGGACGATTACCGGTTTCACGATAAACCACGATAAAATGAACTGACGGTTAGTATTATCGTTTAAAATTTAATTATCATTAAAACCGTGTTTGAGTATCGCGATTTTAATAACTCACTGTAAATCCTGTCCAGCCAGCAACAGTCTGACGCAGCGCGCAATGTTTTGTTTTGACTCGAGAAGGAATGGCGGAAGGCAGTGACCGTGCTCGGGAGATTTTCCAGCCTTTTAAGAGGACCAAATCTGAGGTGTGGTCATATTTTGGCTTTTACAAAAGTCCTGAGGGAAACTTGATCGAGGATGGTCACCCTGTCTGCCGAACAAAAAGTCGCTGCAATAGAAACACTTAAAATCTGCCGAGTCGTCTTGTGTGACCATCACCCACTGTTGTATAGCGAACGCAAGGCAAGTTAACTTTGACCTCAATACCAAAACTACGTCTGGGAAATAATTGGGCACAAAATGTTGTTGAGTTGAAATATTTTATCTCAGTCACTTGAAATAGACGTGAAGCTTCCGCGAAGAAAAGTTTGCAGCAAGTTGAGCCAAAGACGAACGGACAACTTCAAACCAGACTATTATTAAGAGTGACATTTTAAGGGATAGTAATGTACAGATTCATTGTACACCGATTACACTAGGGCTGCACGATGTATCATTTTAACATCGATATCGCGATGTGCGCATCCACGATAGTCACATCGCAGATATGTACGATGTCAAGTATGGATCGTAGTTGATGGTGATTCATGATCAGTAGCAGTGGCGTATGTTTGATTTTGAAATTGGTGGGGACGGGGACATCAATATATAAATATATTTAAAGTTTTGATTGAAATTATTGCTAGGGATATATCAGTGTCACTGGATATTGGTAGGGACACGTCCCTATCGTCCCTACTAAATTCTACGCCCCTGATCAGTAGGCAACGTGCCAGCAGCTCTCCGGCCCGTAACGCTTGTGATTCGTGGATTAATTGCAAAGTTCAACCATCATGTGAGAGTTTATCAATTTGCAAGTCCTGTCAGTTTAAACATAAAGCGCAAGAAGACTGGAACTTGCGCGCTGTTTTCTGTCAGCCTCTAAAGCGTATTTTTGTCCCGCCAAAGTTTGACCGGTGACTGATGTAAAGACTGACTGCTGCGCTTGTTTAACTGAGAGAGCGAGCAGAGAGAGTGAAAGCCCCGGTCGCGCGCGCGCACTCTCACCGTCTTCAAACTGTCTTTCTCGCTCTCCCTCCCTCGCGCATATTAATGAATTGAGTTGAGTTGACTCAGTGATGGATTTCATCCAGTGATGAAATGTTTTCTGTGTTGACAAATCTTGTGCGATGTGGTCCGTTAATGACACGTCCGATTCGCGAACTAATGACTCATTTGAACCGATTCACTTTAATGAATGGTTAAAACAACTGATCTGTCCAACACTGAACTCAAGAGACATAAATCAGAAACACTTTACAATAAGGTTCCATTTATTAAAGTCTAGTTAACTACATTAGTTAACATACTATTAATATTAGTTTCTATGCAGATTTACTCCATGACAAAACCACCCAAGTCATTCTAGAATGATTCATTCTTTCCAAATAAAGCTATTTAAGTAATCTGGTGAAATTGTTTTTATATCGCAATATATATCGCAGAAAAATAAAATATCGCAATGTGATTTTTTACCAATATCGTGCAGCCCTAGATTACACCGATTTTTTTTTTACCACATAATTACGGGGACATATTGAATTGAGATTAATGTGTTAAATCTTGCCTGTTTATAAATCCATTTTGTACAGCGTACAAAACAATCGTCCAGACAAGATGATCACAACAATATTAGCAAACTCTGTATTGAAAATGAAATCAGAGTTGATTTATTGTTTACAATCAAAAACGGAGACGCAAGACGGCAAGTTGTATTTGAATGAAACAAGAGCGCGCTTCCGTTGTGATGCATAGATGTGCGCTGTGTAATAATGCGTTGCTATTGAACAGCATAATCTTGCTTAAAAAAAGGTGCATAGAGCTGCTTATTTATTTGTTGTTTGTTGATTTTCAAATATAAAACTTGTTGAAATGTTTTCAGTGTGAGCATCAGTTCTTTTTGAACACTTTCATCTCATTTTAACAAAACCGTGATAATATTGATAATCACGATTATTTTGGACACTATAAAATCGTGATATGAAATTTTCATACCGTCCCATCCCTACTTGCATATATATACACACACACACACACACACACACACACAAATACAGTAGGCCTATATAGTGTATCTGTGCAATGTTAATATCTTGCAGTGTTATTTTTTTTCTTGTAATTTTCATAAACAGTATGGTTTAATTAAAATGTATTTAATTATCGTCACTATGCATATTTTCCGTTATCTTTGTTCTCGCTGATAAAAAAAAAATGGTTCATTAACCAACATTTGTAGCAGTTAAAGACTTGGAATGTACTATACATATAATGTACAAATCTATTGGACTACTTTTAAGATAATTTTATGGTCCTTTGGTTTGTGCTTTCGTTGAATTGAAAAAGAGCAATGTAAATAATCTTGAAAAAAATTCCTAATTTTCCACGGACGAAAGAAAGTCATGCGGGTTTGGTTCAACATGAGGGTGAGTAAATGATGACAGATTTTTCAGTTATGTGTGAACTATTCTTTTAACAGGTTAAGCAAACTTGCCTATTACAGTCATCTCCTGTAGGAGTATTCTATGATGCAATTTCAGAGCTAATGTGCTGCAGGTGCCAGTGCCACAGCGTACAAAGCTTACCTTTGTTGGTTAGTGTCATGGAGTCAGACAGATGTCTTTTGAACGTGTAATGGCAGGAGTTAGAAGTATTCCCTACTGTTGCGCTGTGTGGCATAACAGTCTTTGAGGTGTCGATGGATCCGGCAGAACCAGGCCTGGATCCTAAGGCACTTTTCACTTGATTCGGTTTGTTTTGTGCATGTCCATAGTGCTGAGCACTATGACTCCCTAATACAGAGCTGGAACTTTTAGTTGTCGGTAACACACCGTAGCCCTGTTTAAATCCAGAGCTGCCACTTGTACACGGTACTGAGTTTGAGCGAGCAAATACGCGTGTGGATTTTGTGGGTTCTTGTGGTTGGCCCCTGCTGTTGATGCCCATGTCCTGAGAACAAATGGTGTCAGAAGAGGAAGGTGCTTTAGATGCAAAGCTTCTTGATTTGTCACGTGCAAGATTTTTGTACTTTTCGCTGCGTCTTTGCTGTTCTTGACTGGCCGATAACTTTTCCACATCATCGCAAGCCTGAAAAAGGAGATCATCGTCGTCTTCGTCATTCCACAGACTATCGGAATCAAACAGAGACTTCATGTCCTCCTCTGAAACCCCATCAAACTGAACAGAAGAGGACTGACTTGAAACTCCACCATCTTTGGTCATTCCATCAAGCTCTACTTGTTTTGTACCCTGGGATGGCTGTGTTTGCGGTTTTTCTTGATTCACAGGTGAAGAAGTCTTTAGCAGCTTCTCAGTAGTATGATTCTGGACAGAAGCAGGTGGCTTCAAACTAAAAGTGCTTCGATTAGACGTTTTGACATCAGGGAGTGTCTTGGTAAAGGTGCTGCTTTTGCTGGTGCTCTGTTGAGTTTCAAAACAGATGTTTCTGCCATTAGATACAGAGGGATTAACCTTGGCCTCAAAATTACATTTCTTAGAGCAAGACTTGGGCTGAGCAGTGCTCGGTTTCTGAGCTACATTCAAAGACACTGGGTTCTGTGTCATTTCCAGCATAAATGTGTCATTCAGAAGGTCATCATTTTCCCAGTCATCATCAAACTTCGCCTCAGTAGCTTTAGGTGCGTCCACAGGAGCATTCTTGATTGCTGCAGAACTTGAGCTCTGTCCAGCCTGAGCTACAGGTTCAGCACTGCTTTCTGGTGTGCAGTTTGCTGATGGCGGGCTCAGTCTCCCACTTACGTGCTGAGTGGGACCATCAAACAGCGCATGAAGCTCTTCCTCTTCCTGGTGGGCTAGAGATGAGCAGCCAGTTCGTTGTTCCAACGAGACCGGGATGGATGTTGATTTTTCTGTTGTCGCTGTACCATCACTTTGTAGTTTATTGAGTTTATTTCTTTTTTCGGTGCTCTCCTGTTGTTTCTCTTTGTCCTGACGAGTCATATTGATGTCAAACTGCTTGGCAAGTTTCTTAAGGTCCTCAACACTGCTCTGCCTAAAGGAAAAAGATAGCGAATTAATGTAAATCTGAAAAATCATAAATCTCTGAAATCAGTGTATATGCCAAAACAATAATGGTACACTGATTGATTGGGCGCCGATTGTTATTGGCTGATAATAGCTTTATATAGTTTGATCGGTGGTCTCTATAAAGGCCGATCGTATGACGCAAAACACGTGATATTTTTCTATGCACAGCTAAAATTGCTTCAGTCTGGCAGTTCTACCAGATAATACATTGCAACGACAGCAGCGCTACAACAATGACAGCAAGAAACTAGGGCTGTGATATTTTAGCGCATTTCTTTCCTTCGCAGCGCATTCTTTCCTCCCTAAAAGTACAAACTTGACGTCCAGATCAGCTAGATCAGTGATTGTCGTAAAATGCAGTCTACTGTTGTTAAACTGCTGGACGTGCTTGATAAAAAAAAGAGTTATTAAAACTGCAGTAAGCTGCGAAAGTGAAACTGTTATATTAGCTTACTGTGCGGTCCAAGACGGAGTGGATCACGGACAAGAAAAGTGAACTTTGAGCTTCGGGTTCGCTGCCTAAACAGTTAAATACACACAGAAATATGTCAAAATGCCTGGCTTGGTGAGTATTCACTTAAACATGGTTGGTTATGTCTTATGTGAACATAAACAGTTGGGAATAAGTTGCATGTGTAACAGTATATTGGATCAGTGCATTCAGTCTTAGATGGCAGCAGGAATATTACGCTGATGTCACTTTGTGTCATTAATGTTAATCAACAAAAGACATTGAAAATCACTCACTGCTCTTTAGTAGATTTAGTAGTAGGGCTGTAACGATTCCTCGATTAAAGTCGAGTAATCGATTTGAAAAAATCCTCGATTGCAATTTACCCGTGTTGAGTTAACCAGCAAAATACCAGAAGTGGCGCATTCCACAGACGAGAATCCATGAAGCGCATTATTACTAGGGATGTCCCGGCCCGATCACGTGGTTTCAGACTCGATCGGAATCGGAAGTTACCTCCCGATCAGGACTCGGATATATGTAAATTAGGGGTGTAACGGTACATGTATTCGTAATTATTGAACCGTTTCGGTACGAGGCTTCCGGTTCGGTACGCATACAAACCGAACGATTCCTAGGACCATTTTTCCTGCAGACAAAATCCGCGACGGCGCGACCACCACAACGTTGCTCAACATCAAATGGCAAACGAAACATAATGAAAGCGGAACGAAACTGCGCTACTCATTATATTGTGCTTAACGGACCATTTATCAGTTCTGACCAGCAACATCTGTGCAGCGCGAGATCAAGATACACTGTGCTGAGAGATCCAATAAAGAAAACATTTGAATTTGCCACTGAAGTAATAACATTGCTGCGGGATCTAGTGAGAAGCATTCAAATTTCTCCGTTATTAACCGTAGATCTCTATTAGATCAAACAGCGCTGACGTGGGAACCAGGAGAAACATTGTGCCGTGAATGAACATGGATTTAATGTTGCACTTCAAAACTCAAATATTATATAAATATATATTTAAATGTTATTTTTAATATGATTACCAAAACATTATTTGTTCATCCTTCAAAGATTACCCCCATTTATAAACCTGAAAGTTTCAAGATGTAGGAAAACAAGCAATTGCCGCCCCTGAATTGCCGCTAATTCCTAAATAGCTGGGTTTCAGTCACGTGATTATGATGACGCGCTAAATTCAGATGGAGGGCAGGGAGTGAAGAGCGCAATGGACGAGATGGAGGAAAGTCCGTACTGTACTACTTTACACGCTATTACAAGAGAAAGATATAAACAAAAAATCAAACATGTGTTGGACGTGATCCTTACGTTATGAAGAGGAGCGATTTTTCAACTAAATTGGAAGATTTTCCTGCCATCGAGGCGGTAGATATCAGCAACTACCTCGTCTTACAGACATTCTTTGACTTTACAAAGTTCGGAAACGTTACACGTTACTCAAACATAGCCACTTAAGTTGTATTAACTCACCTTTGACGAAGTGATCACTGCACACACGGGCATTTTCCCATTCGGCTCCTCCGAGTTTTTCGGTCAATTTCTTGCATTTTCCCCCCTTATGAACAACAACTTTTGGTACACGATAAAAATTCCTTGTGGTTTGATCGAATTAAGTAACCACAAACGACGCAAAACATAGGCATTTTGAGTTTGTTATAGTGCTTTCTAAATACAGCAAATCACTTCCTGCCCTCCATTTGCATTTCGTGCCATGGCAACGCAGTGGCGTGACGTCATATGAAAACAAGCTATTGAGCTTCCATAGGAATTAATAGAAAGCACTTACTCTGCGTCAGTGGACACACACCGTAAAGGATTTAAAAGAGAGGTGGAAAACGAGGGAAAGGTACCATATCCGTAGCGGTTGGTCCGGATCAGCACGGAAGGGAACGGTTTTAAGCAAAGAGAACGGTTTGGCCCGACGGTAGAAAAGCAGCTAAAGTGGATTCGCAGCACTGAAAACAGCATCGTCTCTCCATGTTGACAACACGAACCAAACTCTTACAGTCTCAGCTACAATTATGTTATGACACATTGCTATGGGTTGCGTCTAGCTTTGGACATGACTGACAGACTGGCATTGACAACGCGATCATGTTTTATAACCTTATCTCCACTTATTTTTTTCCTTTTTGTTGCAATTTTTCTACCTATTGCACATATAAATAATATAAACATACTGTATTTGTTGTCATATTGACATTACTTTAAAGTGATAGACTTTTTTTTTTACATTTGAGCTCCTCCCCCTGAGAAACTCTGTGCATGGCCCTGTGGATTGAATTTAATAACTTAATCACTAGAAAAATACAAGTATCGGATCGGAACTCGTTATCGGCAGATACTCAATTTTCAATGACTCGGAGGTACAATAAAACAAAAAATTACGATACAATAATCATTCAGAATATTCACATTATTTCGCACAAAGTCACTGCGAACACAGATCCAGTGGTGAAATGGGAAAAGATGGTGAAGAGAGTCATACAGTTGCAGCACACCTGTCAGGTAATAGAGACATTGTATGCATGCTAGTCTAAAAAAGGTTTATGGCACCTTTTAAGTGTTGAGCCTGTTAGTGGTTAGACGACACGTACCGTGCTGAGATTCTCCTGACTCTGGGCTGTCTGATCTCTGGAGTGCAGGGTATGGCACTGTCTCCAATCCACTGGAGCACCGAGTCCCTTTCTTTAGACTTCTCAACCTTAAACATAGAATAACTGTTAGATTAACATTACCATGACATACATCATTTCCATTTTATTTGGCTATATATTGTTCAATACTTACTTTTGGTGCAATCCTATTGACAATTTCCGATATCTCAATGACTTTCGCATTTCCTCTTCCTGTGAATGGTTACAAATATTTAGTACTGCTACTGATTAAGAGAGCGACATTTATCTGTTTAAGGTGGTATTATGCACAGTGGCAAATCCACTTACAAATTTATCTAAAGTTGGATTTTATACAACAATATACAACGATGGGGTGTAAAAAGCTTGTAATTTTACAATTTTGAACTTCACGTCAGTGTGAACCGGAAGTTGCAACCGACTTTACACTCAGTGTGGTCGTGACATTTTCAAGTCAAACGCAATATTAAAGAGAGGGCAGGGTTTATGTTACGGCACCTCCATCTCTCGCTCATAGAAGACTGACGGTTGGAGGAAAGTGGTTAAGGATATTCTACCCAAGCCATCAAACTGACATCATCAGAGAGGGAACGCCATTCCAGAGCGGAAGCACATTTTTAGATTTTGATAAAAGATTATTACAACAAACTATTTTTTTCTGTGTATTAACTTGCATGGGTTAATTGTTCACCACAAGAATAGTAATGTGCGCTAACAAAGTAAATAGTGTATTTTTTTATTTCATAACGACTTTAAGTTTTATGTAATGTGCAACTGTTGGTGCACTTATGTCACATCATTAGTAATGAAAAATCTTTTTGTTTTGCCTCCATAAAATGAATAGGAAAATCAAATGAGATTTAAATAGAGAATTAAATCAGTTTGTCCAGTAATAGACATTACCAGATGGTTATTTAATATTTAAACAATTAATTTAATTTCCATAGAATACAGCTATATTCAAATATATCATTACTGTGACCTTAAAAAAAAACAAAATAAAAACAAGCCATAACACAAAATTGTTGCTCATACCACCAACCCCTAATCGCTATACAAGAGTTTGAAAAAAATAAAATAAAATGAAAATACTGACTAGTGTAAGTTTCATGATCACACTTGCCATTCACGTTTTGCGTGGGTGAGTTGGGATCCCAGATGATGTCTTGCGGGGATTCAGTCTCATTAGGCGAATCTCCGCTGTAACAACCGTTGAATCTGATTCTTGGTCGACGTTTTGGGGTTGTAAAATCTGATAATTAAGATAAAAATGTCAACAACACTATACTTTGTATGAAAAAAAAAATCACGTGGACACTAACAAGTAGCAGCATGAGTTTTTTGGACATGCACCACTGTAGAATAACGCTATTCTTTGAAGCACACTGGAGTGCCATGCAAATAAGATTATACATAAATCGTTCAGTCGCACGGTAATGCACCATGACACTTCAACAGTAAGTTAACGCTACTTCTGTAGGATAAACATCTGCTTTCCGATGCGTTGTCACGCGTTCTGGTGTCTTACAAACTTAACGTTACTTACCTTTGCGACAGCTGTATGAAGTGTGATACGACGGAGACTGTGACTTTTTGAGTCCGATCATTCCAGTCTTTGTTTTCATTTTCCTCTGGGAAAGTTTGAGAGTTCTGCTCTGATTTTCTCTCGCATCTGATATATGTCGCGCAGTGATGTTTCTCTTGTCGGTCATGGTTTATTTGAACTAATATGAACAATACAGCTTCAGTAGTCATAACTTGTTTGAAATAGCTGCAAAACGTTTGCGATATTTGGTTTAAACACTAAAAGTGTTTGGCTACTCAGGTAAGAGTGCTCTCCTACATCGTCGCCATGTTTTCTGTACGTTTACACGAAGACGCGTCTCTGATTGGTTCTTGGAATCTCGCGACATCTCGTGAGACTTTACATTTTCAATGTACTTTTTGTTTTTGTTGCAATAGACCACAAACAGTTTGACCACGTACAGAATATTAAAACCAGTTGTCGGGGGCATAAGAAAAATAATATTAAGTAGGCCTAATAATGAACAATCCATCCTGTAAATGTAACCTCCGTGTAAGGTAAGTTAATAATATAACGTGCATACACTCCTTTGGGCTTAGAAAGAGTAAACCAGTATATTATGAATGTGATAGCAGATGTGCTGACACTAAAAATAATAAGAACAAAGTAAAATGCAAGGTATTGATGGAGTATCATTGATGTAGGCCTAGTAAAAATGATGAGTGAGGTTTGCTATAATTAATATATAGGCCAGCCAGGCTTACATAAAATATCGCCTAACTAAATTGCCTATTTAATAATAATAAAAACAGTAATTGCTAAATAATAAAAAGTTATTGGTAAAATATGTCATGTCATTTCTTTATTAAATAATTTATTTATAATGTAAAAATATTGCATTTATTTATGTTAATAAAATATCTTAAATTATTTTTAACTTGACAGAACTTAATATAATCAACTGAGAGTCATTTGTTGTAGAATCAGACAACACTATTTGATTTTTGTTCACTAAAAATAACAGTCATTTGCAGTGTTAAACATAATATCAGTATTTAAGTGAAGGGTTCTTTACAATTATTAGTTAAAATGGCATTTCCATCCATTTGGTTGTCCTCAGTGGAGCATTACATGCCTGTGTTCGACACACTTCAGACATTGAGATGTTTATCCCTCAGCAAGTCAGTCAAGTCAGGTCACCTTTATTTATAAAGCCCTTTATACAATACAGCTTTACATGGATAAACAGAAAATAATGATGCAAACCGAGATTATTTCTGCTGTACAGTAGCTCTAAAAAGATAATAGTGTCATTGGTCAGCTGAGGTCAGTTCGGTGATCATTCAGTTCAGTTTAGTTCAGTTCAGTTCAGTTCAATGACTATGTAAAGTTCATCAAATATGCCATCATACTCTCGCTGGTTACTACACTACCTGAAGCTGTAAGATTTATTTAGAAGCTGGATTATTCTAGGACGTTACACTGCTTCTGTTTTGTAAATATTGCTGTCTGAATTTGTAAAACAGCTGTTCTCTATACTGTTCTTTATTTAGCTATTCAATAGAGAATTTAGTAATTTAGATAGATAGATAGATAGATAGATAGAAAGATAGATAGATAGATAGATAGATAGATAGATAGATAGATAGATAGATAGATCGATCCTATATCTTGAAGTTTGATTTGTGCAATATGTATTTTTGTATTTATAAGTCTTTGCCAATTGAAAGCACTAGATGGTGCCTGTATTCTTTATTAGAGGTGTGTGTGTGTGTGTGTGTGTGTGTGTGTGTGTGTGTGTGTAATGTTGTGGAGGCTGCACACTGAGTGTGCTGCTGATATAGAAATGCTGTACGGTGCGGTCGGGCTCCCCTGCTGGAGTGGTGTGTGTGAGGGCCAGACACTGCTGTCAGCACTCACAGCTGACACACACACACACACACACACACACGCATCAAACTCTACCTGCTGAGAAGAACCACTAGTCAAAATAAAAACCTTTAGTTGAGACATGCTCCTCAGGAATAAATGGACAAGAAAAGGCCTCTATGAAAGCAAGGGAACTTGCAGTTACAGTAGTGTGTCATGGACAAGTTCTGGTGTTGCATTTTGCTTTGTTGTTAATGCACTGTAACAACATGATCTGTCAGATTACGCAGCATGGATGTTCTGGCATTAATATGTTTCTCTGCAATATAAGCAACTGATATTAAGGGCCTGCAACTTTTCTATTTGTAATAATATAAGGAAACTCTAGTGATCCAATATTCGCGCCCACTATACTGTAGAACCAAACCCTGCCTTGTAAATTCATCTCACAAAAATAAGTCCAGGTTGCGTTAAAAAAAAATAGATTGTATTTTTGCATATATAAAAAAAAAGCTAATTTTAGGACCAGTGTGACATAATTTAAGCACACAACAATTAAGTACCCTTAACTTATTTTTTTGTAAATCTCATTACTTAAGTCTCATTTACTTAAATATTTGCAAATACTTTACAAATTAAATAATATTTTATTAAATGGATAATGAGAATGTAGCTCCCACCACCCTATAATAAAATTTGTATTATAGTAATAAAAATGTATGGGGAAACGTGCTTGTCACAATGCTAAAAGTCTTAATGGATCAAAAACATGCTTTATTTTCTTAATGTAAAATATAATTGAAAAAAAATTAAGGGGTGAAATACGATCCAAATATGTTCTTGGTGTTCCAGATTTGGTGCAATTCACCAAATACAGAAAGCTGTATAAAACTATTAAAATCATAATTTGTAGTGTGGGTCTAGACATTAAATTAATGTTAATTAAGGGATGATGAGGAATATGCTCTATAATGACATGCGAGCATCATTAATTAACAGATTAGAATCGGATCCCCATATGAAGATATATATAGACATGGTGATTGTTCTGTCAAGTGTGCTTTTCGGGTCATATATAAGCCATCTTCACAAAATCACGAGGCACTGAACAGCGTGTTTAAAAGTCACCATAACACCCTCTGTCACACGAAATGTTAGCATTTCACAGAGCTGGATAGTTAAAGAGGAAGTAAAGGGCAAAGACATGTCACTTTCAATCTGAATATGAGGTGTCACGCTGAGTTTCTTGTTTTCTCTTTTTCATCCGCAGTGTTTTCCGTCGCCTTTCCGCCACAGACGGCAAAATGCCAAAGGCCGCAGAGGGAGAGCGTTTGGCTTCTGGAGCTTCAGCCGCCCAACCCCTCCGCTCTCCTCCGCTTTTTTATTTATCTGTTCCGCCTTGGTTGTTTAGACCCAATTAAGAGGCTAATTGTGGAGATCAGGGAGGATTGCATTGTTGTAAAAGTACGGAGCGCATGGCTAATTGCCGGAGCAGCTGCCAGTGTTTATGAAAAGCCGGGCGGATCTGCGGTTCTCTCGGAGGAGAGCGAGCTCTCGTCCTCCTTCTGATGTGGTAGAGAGAGCCAGGTGAGCGGAGAGCATTCCGGGGCGGGACAGAACTGAAGCTGCAGAAATAATTACCACCACCGAGGGCTTCTCTTTCTCTTATCTTGGGCTCTCGCTCCCCAAGGCAGGCGAAACCTTGAGGATGACACCAAGCATGTGGCGGGACTCGGCGATATGGAAGGGATCCAGGATGCACATCCTCTGCCAGCTTTTATCTAAATGATCTCACTCTTGTCTGTGCCAGGTGTTTTGGGTGGGAGTCTGTGAAATAAGGCACACAGTTTTGAGGCACCGCTGAGGCTGTTGTCGAGTGATGCTTTCTCCCATAGCAGATGGGTTTCTCACAAAGTAAACTTTAGGAACGTTGTTCCGCATGGTGGCAGCTTGTTCTGGATGGATGAATGCCTTCATGCCGCTTCTCAAAAGCAGCAGAACATGATATAATGACAAGACACCTCTTGGCTAAGTTTACTCTTTTGACATTGTCATTCTTTTAGCATTACTCAATGCCTTTTAGGTTACACGTTATTTCAAGGTGTCCTTGTTACAGTGTAATTATACTTTGTACTGAGTAATGTGAATTAACAATATGTACTTACTATCGGGTTAGGATTAGGGTTGGTTTAGGGTTAGTTGCATGTAATTATGCATAATTACTGCACTTCCCACATCTTTCTTCAAAAGTGTGTTAAACAGTTTAGAAGCAGATCTCCTAAAAGTGGTTAATGCCTCACTTCTTTCTGGTAGTTTTCCAAACTCCCTGAAAACTGCAGTTGTCAAGCCCCTCCTGAAAAAGAGCAATCTGGATAAGACTATATTAAGCAACTATAGACCGATCTCAAATCTTCCTTTGATAGGCAAGATCATTGAAAAAGTTGTCTTCAATCAGCTGAACAAATTCTTAATCTCGAATGGATACTTTGACAATTTTCAATCTGGTTTCCGATCGCATCACAGCACAGAGACAGCGCTCATAAAGATAATAAACGATATTCGCTTAAATACTGATACAGGCAAATTATCAGTGCTGGTACTACTCGACCTCAGTGCTGCATTTGACACTGTCGATCACGACATACTTCTTGACAGGCTGGAAAACTGGGTGGGGCTTTCTGGGATATTTCTAAAATGGTTCAGGTCATACTTAGAAGGGAGAGGTTATTATGTGAGTATAGGAGACCATAAGTCTGAGTGGACGTCCATGACATACGGAGTCCCTCAAGGCTCAATTCTTGCGCCACTCCTGTTCAACCTATATATGCTCCCAATGAGCCAAATAATGAGAAAGAACCGAATCTCTTACCACAGCTATGCAGACGACACACAACTCTACTTAGCCCTATCGCCTAACGATTACAGCCCCATTGACTCCCTGTGCCAATGCATTGATGAAGTAAACAGTTGGATGTGTCAAAACTTTCTTCAGTTAAACAAAGACAAAACTGAAGTCATTGCGTTTGGAAACAAAGATGAAGTTCTCAAGGTGAATGCATACCTTGACGCTAGGGGTCTAACAACTAAAAATCAAGTCAGGAATCTTGGTGTGTCTCTAGAGTCAGACCTTAGTTTCAGTAGTCATGTCAAAGCAATAACTAAATCAGCATACTATCATCTGAAAAATATTGCAAGAATTAGATGCTTTGTTTCCAATCAAGACTTAGAGAAACTTGTGCATGCTTTTATCACCAGCAGGGTGGATTATTGTAATGGACTCCTCACTGGCCTTCCTAAAAAGACCATTAGACAGTTGCAGCTCATACAGAACGCTGCTGCCAGGATCCTGAGCAGAACCAGAAAATCTGAACACATCACACCAGTCCTCAGGTCTTTACACTTGCTCCCAGTTACATTTAGGATTGATTTTAAAGTATTATTACTGGTATATAAATCATTCAATGGCCTAGGACCTCAATATATTGCAGATATGCTCACTGAATATAAACCTAACAGATCACTCAGATCATTAGGATCACATCAGCTAGAAACACCAAGGGTTCGCTCTAAGCATGGTGAGTCTGCTTTTAGCTATTATGCCAGCCGCAGCTGGAACCAGCTTCCAGAGGAGATCAGATGTGCTCCTACAGTAGTCACATTCAAATCCAGACTCAAAACACATCTGTTTAGCTATGCATTTACTGAATGAGCACTGTGCCACTGTTCGTCCGACTGTTTTTACTGTACTTTATTTTTTATTCTAAACTGTTTTAATTATTCTTATTTGTTTTGATTATTTTAATTTCTTCTATGTAAAGCACTTTGAATTACCATTGTGTATGAAATGTGCTATAAACTTGCCTTGCCTTGCCTTACTGATTATACTATACAGTAAGTACACGTAACATATGTAGCAAGGACTTTTACATCACAACATTGATTGGCATTGTGAAAACTGTGACTTTAGAACATTATTTTGAGATTACAGCATTCTTGTACGATTTTGACAATCATCTGACACTGCATCATTATTATGGCATTTGTTTATGATAATGAAAATCTTTTACTATTGCGACATTTTGGTGTCACAACATTCTTTTAAGAAGGCAAGATTCTTAACGTTACACTATTTTGTCATTGCAACCTTTTTGTGCAACTTTCTTGGTATTCAATAGATTTTTTTCGACATTCTTTGGAATGGCAACACTTGGCTTTACAAGTTTTTTGGATTATGACAGTTTTGACATAATTCTTCTGGCATTATGACATTTATCTGACAAAAAAAATCTATGGCATAACAGCATTAAACATTATTGTGACTGTATTCTTTTACTATTGCGACATGCTTTTGAAATTAAGTTTGCACGATTCTTGACGTTACAAAACGTTGTCATTACAACATTGTTGTTTAACTATCTTTTATCAATATTTTTTTGGTATTACAACAGTCTTTTGACATTTCGATATCTTTTACATTATTTTAGCATTACAATTGTTTGGTATTGCAACATTCTTGGAATTATGCCAACATTTTGATGATTCATTTTTTTATATATATTACATTATTCGTTTGACATTTCAGCATTATTTTTGACATAACATCAGTAGAAAATCATTAAGGTTAGAAATGGGTGATGCAATTAGACAAAGAGAATTGTGGGTAATTAGACAGTTATGGAGGTCTTCGACGTGCAACATTTTAGTGCATGTAGATCAGACGAGAATCTCTGGCGTGGATCTCAGTCGCGCTTTCAGCTCTTCCTGTATCACTTCTCTTCTGTCCTCCTCTCACAGTGCTTCCACCCTCTCCCCTCCAAGGGAGGCCCAACCTGCCCGGCTGCCCCATCGCTCCTGCTCCCTCATTAATCTGTCCACAGGAACGTCCGGCTGCGCGGCAGCTTGACTGCTCATTTATTCTGTTTAGAATAGCGACGCCGGTGATAAATGTCCCGCAGAGCGCACATGTGCTAAAATATTCATAAATTGGAACTCTTAATTTGTGAAGGTGGAAAACCAATAAATTTCAGGAGTGGTGACAAGTCATGTTATATTTATATGAATATGCAGGCCATGGGTGAGACATTGAGATTAATACACAGTGTGCTTGCTATTAACCAATTCTAATTGCCTCTTTGCGAAATTAGCATGTCGCCTGATGTGTGAGGAAACAATAACGTGTTTGATGCTTTGATGTGGTTTCCTACAGAAACAGACCCAAATTTGAGAATTGTCGACAGGCATATTAAAGGAAGCAAATCATAATCCCAAATCTGAAATCAAGCCCCTCTGATTAAAGACAATGTGCACAGCTGTTTTACATCACTTTTTTACATCACCATTTCCTTTTGTTCTTTGAGCAACCCTTTTAGGATTATGAAACATTATTATTTTTTAATAAATCCAGCCATTTTTCTCTGTCGAGCAAACAGATGGCAATGGAAGCAGCTCACTTTTAAAGTTACTCTTACTATTGCACACCCTAAAGTCTACATTGTTCTGTTTTGCCAACAAAACTTTTGTCACTATGTGTGGATTCCTTGCAGGTGAGCACAGGGTGGCAGCTGCTTCCTGCAGTGTTTTCCTGCTCAGGTCAGTCTCTCCAGGGGAAGCAATGACAAAAACTAGGCCAGATGGTGCAGGAGAGCGAGGCAGAGTGGGCTGCTCTCAACCCGACCAACTGCACTGCATTCAAGGTGAGTGAAAACGGTCTCTACAGGAAAGAAAAAGCACAAAAAAAAAAAAAAAACATTTCTTTAATATCTCAGTCATTACTCATGGACAGCATTGTGGTTAAACGACTTAAAAAAACCTATTTAATTTAGTTTACCTTTTTGTGTGTGTGTGTGTGCTGCTTACTATTTATTCTGTTCAAGTAATTCTTCCAAAGCAGCATAGTTTTATTGAATGTCAATAATTGCTTAATGTATTTCTATGTTTAATTGTATTTTTAGGAGAAACAAAATTGATGCTTGAATGAAGAGGGAAATTTGAGCAATAGACCTTAGTCGTCATATATGACATTTTACCTAAAAGTCTTTAGAATGATATGCATTGTATATATGATCACACATCATTTTCTAAACTGTTCCATGGAGTTTTGTCACCTATAAGTAAACCAGAACAACATCTAGCAACCACCGAGCAAAGACCCAGAACAACAACCACTTACTAAAACCATAGAAATGCCCCTGCAACTGACTAGTAACACTCTAGCAAGCACCGAGCAAAGACCCAGAACTACAACCACTTACTAAAACCATAGCAGTGCCCCAGAAACTGCATAGTAACACTCTAGTAACCACCTAGAAACAACCCAGAACAACAACCACCTACTAACACCCTAGTAATGCCCATGCAACTGCCTAGTAACACTCTAGCAACTACTTAGCAACGACCCAGAACTACAACCACTTACTAAAACCATAGCAGTGCCCCAGAAACTGCATAGTAACACTCTAGTAACCACCTAGAAACAACCCAGAACAACAACCACCTACTAACACCCTAGTAATGCCCATGCAACTGCCTAGTAACACTCTAGCAACTACTTAGCAACGACCCAGAACAACAACCACCTACTAACACCATAGCAATGCCCCAGCAACTGCCTAGTAACACTCTAGCAACTACTTAGCAACGACCCAGAACAACAACTACCTACTAACACCATAGTAATGCCCCAGAAAATGCCTAGTAACAGCCTATCAACCACCTAGCAAACGACCCAGAACAACAACCACTTACACCATATAGCAATGCCCCAGCAAATGCCTAGTAACAGCCTATCAACCACCTAGCAAACGACCCAGAAAAACAACCACCTACTAACACCATAGCAATGCCCCAGCAAATACCTAGTAACAGCCTATCAACCACCTAGCAAATGACCTAGAACAACAATCACCTACTAACACCATAGCAATGCCCCAGCAAATGCCTAGTAACAGCCAACCACCTAACAAACAACCCAGAACAACAAATACCTACTAACACCATAGCAATGCCCCTGCGACTGCCTAGTAACACCCTATCAACCACCTAGCAACGCCCCAGAACAACAACCACCTATTAACACCATAACAATGCCTCGGCCACTGCCTGGCAACACCAAAGCAACCACCTAGAAGACCTCATCAATTGCATAGCAACTCCTAAGCGACCATCCAAAACACTTTAACTACCACCTTGCAATGCCCCATGCAAACTGCTAGAATATTATAGTCACCAACTAGTAATGTCTTAGCAACGACTAGGTATAGTGACCTGCTATAAGAAGACTATTATCTAAGACTGAGATCTTGTTTTCTTTCCTTTTTCAAGGGAATAATTTTCTTTCACATTGTCTTTATTTTGTAAGACTAATTCTATTATTTCAAACAAACAGCACAGCACAACTTATCTGGAATTTCTCTCTCCTCGTCATCTGTAACTTTCTTGTCTGTTCAGGCTTTGATCTAAAATTGGCCTCTGTAGAAGACTTGTGTACAGTAATTTTCATATGGGCTTTGAACATATTGAAAAGGCTCATAGCTGCTGTCGCTTTTATCCTCTGATTCCTTTTCCCTGGGAAACGACGAGCATATGGCAAACACCCTCACTGGATTCTCAGACAACGGGAGGGACCGTATTCCGATTCCTGCATCCTGTCATCGGCGAATCCCAGGGTGCTACCCGAACCCACCCTCCCTCGCACATGCACAAACACACCGTCTCCTCTAGACTTTGAAATGCGCTCTGCGCTTGTCTGACATCCTTAAACTGGAACACAATGCTCCAATCCCTCTATAATTTTGCCTTATTTTTACCTGAATTTACTTAAATCACCTGCTTTTTTTTCTGTGCTTATTTTTTTAAGTTAAAACAGTTAACATTAATCCTAAGTTTATTAACAAACAAGTGAAATGTAAGTCATTTTTGAAATCTCATTTGCATCCATGTTCAAATTGAAAAATAACACTCTGAGGTGTCGCACCATGTATTATGCCACTGACAACTCTGTTAGTTCATGCATGTACCTTTTTGGAGCTTGACAGATGTGGTCGGAAAAAAATGCTTAAAATAGAATAGAAATATGGGTTTAGAAATATGTGAATGTGTAAATAACAACATATTTTCCTTATTGAGTGAATTAAGTTTTATGTAAGTTGGCTAGACCCCTGAATAGGGGGAAAATGGATGATCCTTTTTTATTCATCCTACATATATCCTTGAAGCTTTGTTTGTTAATGCAGGGGAATTAAGAAACAGTAATAATGATCAACATGTCCTTCAATTGATAAATGAGCACACTTGATTTGAGAGCCACTTGACGCCATTTTCACCTGCGAAGGAGAGAGAACACGTATAAAAGCCATCAGAGCCTCGTAAAATAACAGATTTGACAAACTCAGCATTTGTTGCGAGGCGGTCAATGTAATTTATTATCTTAATTGGACTATCTCCTTTTTTTCTCTTGTAATTAATGTCAAGAATGTCTCCTTAATATAGGGCAATCACAGTAATTGGCATTGCTTAAAGAAGGAGAAAGATCAAAGCTTAATTTGCTCAAGTGAGAACACTGAATCGCTGAACTCTTTCAATTTAATTGGCCAACTTTTGTGTTTGTGTTTACTATTAGTGGTGTTTGCTAAGGCAAATATCATTGTAAGTATTGTTCAGGGGCACAAATACCCATTTGTCGAAGAGTATACAGCATCTGCACCAATCAATTTAAAGAAAACCCTATTTGAGAGGTGTGCTATTAATTTGCAAAACAATAAAAATTATAGGTTTTGTCAAAAGGTTGATACAATGGGCACAAGAATCCCATAGACTTACACATAGACAAGAGACCTGAGCCAGAGGCTAGAATATTTTAATTAATTACATTAATTTACATAAAATACCTCAGCTGAATCAATGCAAATGAATTGTTAATTAGAACAACTGTGTATGTTACTTATAAACTCATATCAATCCATTATTTTACAAATAAATAAATAATGCACCATTTTAGGCCTAGGAAAGTTCTTGGAGCACGTCCTGATTTTGCCGAGTTAGACGCGTTCCTGTAGATCAACTACATATTTTGTTGATCCTGGAACAACATTCCTGCATGTCTGAAATTTTTATCTGAATCATATCCCTAACCCTACCCATAAGTATCCCTAAAATCAGAGGGAAATGATAGTTGAATAACACTGATGTAATAACACTTGTACAATCTAAAAAATGCTGGGTCAATTATGGACAAACCCAACCGTTGGGTTTAAAAATTTAAACCAATGGTTAGGTTTGTCCATATTTGACCAAAACATAGGTTGAAACAACCCAGCATTTTTTAGAGTGTAAGCCTAAATTTGACATAAACTGTAAACTTGTCCCTCACACCTGATTGGTGGATTGGAATGTTGTTCCAGGACCAACAAAGATGTTGATCCATGAAAATGTTGTACTTGGTGAAATCAGGTTCTTCAGTTTCGGAAATCACCCTGAATTGTGGCGGTGAGTTTTGCACAGGTAAGCACCACTCACATTATCATCAGAAAATTGTGGGTTGTTCCTCTAGAGATTACATAGGTATTATGTTAAGTGTCGTTATGCCATTTATAGCAATACGAACTGATCTAATTAAAACGAACATATCTAATCTTATTTTGAATTAAATTAGAGTGAAGATTGCAATGGTGTCCACATGGACGGCATTTGTTTATTGACCGCTTTTTCTGATGTTTTCTACAAGGTGAAACAATTACATCTCCAGTGCAAGCATCATGCATTAAGCATCTCCAAGGATGTGTATCTCGTTCTTTCATCATAAAGATAATACATGTGGCGCTCAAGCTCAGAAATTTGCAATTACCATAGATTATCACCAACACAGCGGTTTGAAGTAATTATAACAGGTCCCACATCGTCCATATAATCACCTCTCAATTTGAGCCTGTTTAGAGTAGTTTTCTGCAAACATGCATTAAATGGTGCCTGTAGCTCTCCCTTGGAGGCATATCACCGAGCTGGGGAGAACGCTCAGCCAGACTTTTATTACAAATCGCCATGTTGTATGCCACAGTTTCTTTGGATATCATTGTAGGCTTTCAAGCACAGTGGAGGGCAAGAGGATGCCAGCTCTTGTTAATTTATTATTGGCAATTAGCTGGAATTAGAGGATCCAATAAGAGACAGAATACAATACTTAACGAAATCTCAATGAAAGTATGTTCATTTTCAAGGAACTAAAACATGAATAATAAAAGACAATGTGTCAGTTTTACCACAGCATTCACACACAGTCTTAATCAGCTGTGATGAGCAACATGACATTTTGTTGGTCACTTGGTTTTGATTTCTGTGCTGTCTGGGTACCTCAGCCTCCTGTGAAATTCCATTGGTCCAAAATCATGATCCACTGAGGGCGTTTTCACACCTGAAAGTCCGCACCAAGGTCCGAACCAAAGTTCACGTTTTGATACATTTTATACTTTCAGAAAGTTTTGGTTTGGTTTCACACTGCAATTATGCGAGCGCACTAAATAACTTTACGTGACATACTTGCGTCCTGTCGTCATCATCTATGTGGGTTGCATCTTGACATTGATTGGTTTGTAAAAAAAAAAGACATTGATTGGTTTGTAAATGGACGTGCGTCTGACGTCAGCGTGTTGTCAATTCGGCGGGTAACTGACAACATGAATGAACAGACCCATATCGTTGC